TGGAAACTAGTGTCTTGAATAAAGAATGCAGCCAGGTGACAGTCTCCAGAAACACTGCACTATCTGATGAAATGCATCTGAACCCTTTATATGCTTGGCTGAGGATGCAATGGGGCAAAGCTAGCATCTGTGGAATTATGACTGAAAGCCCCCCATGTCAGAATCCCACCCAGGCTGAATGATCAGGCAGCGACATGGGGCCTCAGCAACCATCCTGTCAAACCTACAAACATGCACTGTTGGTGGGAAACCTGGTACTAAACCAGGTTTGGTAGATGAGCTGCTTCTAAGTTGGGGTTCCCTCCAAGGGAACAGAGCAGAGCAGCTCTCTCTTGCTGTGATCTAATAATAAATAATACAAAGACAAATGCAGCTGCTTTGACAGGTTTTAAATCTAAACACAGAATAGGTTTTTGTTTATATTTGGAGAATGTAACTCTCCCAGGAAAACCTGAGTTAGGAAATGTGAGGAGAAAGGAAAAAATAAACCCAAAGTTGCCTTAGGAGGTGGGGTTTCAAAAGGAGATAAGGAAATTATTTGAAAGTCCCATCTTACTGGCATCTAAAAGAAACAAAGAGGCAAACAAAATGCCCCGATGGAAACATGCTGATGTCATCTCAAATAATGGCTGAAAAATATGGCTGAGAATGAATTAAGGAAGAGAAAAAAATGCCCTCCAAATAATGAAAAAACAGTATCCCTCATAGACTGTAACCATTGATTTTAAGATTTGCCATTATTGTATGTACACTAAGACAGAGAACACTAAACTATGACATATAAGTAACTATAAGATACATATTGATTTCAGAAGTGTTAAAATATGAAAAATGTGTATATTAATGAAAAAATCAAAGAAATTCCAAATGCTTAAGGAGGAAAAATGGGAGGGAAGGAAGGGGAGAGCAGGGATAAAGAGTACAATAAAAATTTTGAAAATGATAAAAACCATGTAAAGTAAATATTAAATGAAGGAAATACAAAAATAAAATCAAGAATATTAATCATTACACTAATTATTAAAGGATTATTTAATCAAAAAACAGACTACCAAATTACATCAAAAAGTAAAACCTAGGGGTACCTGGGTGGCTGAGTCTGAGTATCCAACTCGATTTCAGCACAGGCCAAGATCTCAGGGTCATGAGACTGAGCCCCACATCAGGCTCCGCACTTAGCGTACAGTCCATTTGCCCCTCTCCCTCCCCCTCTGCTCCTCCCACACACCCCCAGCCCCTTGCCACCGCTTGCACACACATGCACACAATCTCAAATAAATAAAATCTTAAAAAAAGTAAAACCTAGCTACATGCTATTTATTAGAAACCCTGTAAACAAATGATAAAGAAAAATGTAAATGGGATAACAAGTATACACAAAATACAGAAAAAGCAAGGGTATCAATACTAACAGACAAAGGAGAATTTAAGGTTACAAGCACTATTTGAATAGGATAAAAAAAAAGGGGCAGTATTACTAATAACTAGTGAGGTTATAAATCCATAATCTTATATGCAGTACACATAGCAGAGAAGTACATAAAGAAAAAATCGGAGGTGCAAAAATAATTTGGTAAAAATTCAATTAAAATCGGAGACTTTGGCTTATCTTTTCTAGAACTGATACATCTAGTACAGAAAAATAAAAGTGATCATATAGGGTGCCTGGGTGGCTCAGTCAGTTAAGCGGTCAGCTCTGGGGAGGGCAACCCCTATTTTTAGTATGCTTTGCTGGAGCCAGAGAAGCAATAAAGATTTTGTCTCCAATTACCAGGTTCCTGTCTTCTGACTGCAGAGCTGCAGGCACAGAGGCTGGTCACCAGTAATTCAACCCCCACCAGCTAAAATGATCTCCACCATATTGAAAGGAGTCATACCTATTTCTTTAAATATTCAAAAACAACCATGTATAGAGAAAATTAAGAGAGCTGCTATACATGCCCAGGAAAAAACACAGGCTCAGAAAGGACCTGTAAAACCTTAACTTTCACCATATGCTCATCCCTGCACAGACATACTCTATAAAAATAAAACAAAGAGCAAACCCTAGAGAAAAGGGAGAATGTGATTTCCAGAGTTATCACATAAGATTCAATGTCCAGTTTGCAACAAAAAATCACAAGGCATACAAAGAAACAAGAAAGTGTGATCCATTCAAAGGAAAAAAATAAATCAACAGAGAACATACATGAGGAAACCTGTGTATCAGACTTACTAGACAAAGACTTTGAAAACAACTGTCTTAAAGATGCTCAAAAAGCTAAAGGAAGATGTGGACAAGCAAGAAAATGATCAATGCACAATATGCATAACAATAAAGAGATAAGTTTTAAAAAGAGCCAAACAGAAATTCTGGAACTGAAAGGTACATTAACTGAAGTGAAAAATTCACTAAAGGGGTTTGAAAACAGATGTGCACAAGCAGGATAAAGATACAGCAAATCTGAAGATAGGACAATTGAAATTACAAAGCTTCAGAAAAATGAACAGAGTCTAAGGAACCTGTGGAATATCATCAACACATTGGGGACCAACACCACTTTCTGCAAAACACAGAAGAGAGAGAAAAAGGGAAAGAAATTATGGCTGTAATAATAAGCAATGCAAGCAATACAGGCTATAGTATTTCTAATAATACTAATGCATTTCTCTTATGATTTCTTTCATAATTTTTTCTCTAGCTTACTTTACTGTAAACATATAGTATATGACATATATAACATACAAAATATTTGTTTATCACTCCTTATGTTATCAGTAAGGCTTCTAGTTAATAGTAGGCTATTAGTAGTTAAATTTTGGGAACTCAAAAGTAGTAGCTTCTATGCTGAGTTCCTTAGATGTCATTAAGAAAAATGGGCTGCTAATCTTGCCAAAAAGAGGACAGAAAATTGTCACCTCATGGTAACACAAACCATATGACCTTATGATATGGGAAAAATAAGACATCTCATGGAATAATGTAACATAGTTTATGGTTGATCCACAGGTAGGAATCTCCCCCCATCTAAGCAACAAAGCTTTAATGCAAGTGCTCATTCCACACTGGAACCTCAGCAGCCAGAGGCCACTCTCACCATCCCTCCACACTCGATGCCCTCCTTCAACCACAGCTGAAGGCTTCAAGACTTTGCATTCATAGGGCCTGAATGCTCCTCTAGAACCTGGCCCTCTTATGATTAAATCCTGTTTTAGAAGACGGACTGGAAATGAATCATCAGAAACTATGGTTTTACTTAGAAAGACTTCAAAACTCCAAAAAACTTTTAGAACGTAACTCAGTCAGAACTTGGAGACTTCCTTCAATAAGTATGATGAGATTCAACAACCAGGATTCTGCCTTATTTTATAGTTAACCAAGTATTTCTTTTATTTTCCTACCATGTTTCATGAAGGAAGATTATCTTTGTATAACCTACACTACCAAGCACCATACCTATCATCAAGATGTTACCAATGATTCTTTTTAAAATGGCCTGACCAAGATGCCAAGCAATTTGTGAGTATTCAACAATATTAAAACTATTGTTTTTTAATGACAAATAATTACTAATTAGAAAAATTATTATAACAAAACAAAGTCCTTCACCTAAAATTAAATGGCCATGAAAAGATTTATAAAATTTATCAAATATCACATTTTGACAAAATCAAGATTAATAGATACTGTCTCCCTTCTCTCATTGGCCATCTCTAATCAGCTGAGGGCTGGACTATTAACTAGATATATTATAACTCCATGACTATACGTAATTATAACTCAGATGACTATACATATGACCAAGCGTCCATAGACTGTCTTAGAAGGAAAAACCCATCAACTCTGAACACTTGTTCTGGTTACCGGAGGCAAGGGGTTCTGTACTGTTTGTACATAACTGGTTCTTTGGATGAGTAAGAAATTCTTGAAGCTGCTGACTAAGCAACTTTTGCATAAGTAAAATATTCCTATATATAAGGAAAAGTACTATACTGGAGAATGCAACCACTGTACTAAGAATTCAGAAAAATAAATGTAGTCTAGAGTTACTGAAAAGTAACCAAGGACTTCCTGAAAGATTGCAAAGATGATCAGAATCTGGATTAGGGAAGAAAGGAAGAAAACAAAATAGGAACAGGGATTTGTAGAAGAAACATACAAGAGAAAAACAGATTAATATGGGGCCAGATTATAAAGCATTTTAAGGATTATTAATTTGAAACACTGAGGCACAGAAAATATTTTATGTATTATATAAATTAAAAGCCATTGTAACAAAATTAACCTGTTGTTGACAAATATAATGGAATGGCACAATAAATCAGACATGAGGTAGTAAGCATCTTCAACTTGAGTAGTGGTAAAGGAAATAAAGAGGAAACCTAAGACACAGTCCTGAGAACACACTGAGAGAAATTAGGTTTTCTGAGCTTCAACTGCCTTTAAAATGACAATTCCATCATCACTTACTGCCTTAATCAAAAAGGATTACTATGAGGATAAGTAACTGTCTCTATATATACCAACACACATTCCCTCTAAATTAAAAATCATCATACAACCCTGAGGCATACATTACTTTTAAAAAGGGGACAAAGAATTGGTAAGAGTCAGAAATGACTACCAAGTTTCAAGTGGAGGAGTAATGGGTTGCTATTAACAAACAGAAAACAATGAATGGAAAACAAACATGCTTGAGCAAGGTTAAAGATCAACAGTTTGCTTTTTTATTTAATGTTCTGTTACCAAGCTGAAGAACTTTTCAAATGAATGATCTAAATGCAAGTCAAAAATATTTAAATTTAAGAAAACGTATGTAATTATGTATTTAATATAATCTTAGTAATCTCAAAGATACGTACCAACACACACATAAAACATTATCAGTAGAGAAACTTTTTAATATTTTTTCTATATTTTCCAGAAATCAGCAGTTGTTACTATGAAAAAAAACTGATATCATTCAAAAGGCTTTTTATCCTTTTCATAGAAAATTTGAAGAAAATGCATATAAACTTACTCTGCCATGATGTGGGACAATACCCTTCAAACTGTCTGCCCTTTCTTTCTCTTGTTCAATTCTCTGAGTACTAGAAGAACATGATAATACACCATCTATATGCCTTCTACTATCTCCAGTATCTACAAAATTACCTGAAATACAAGAAAAAAAATTAATAGAGCAATGTCAAAGTCTCAGTAATCTAATAACTGCTTTTTTTTTTTAAGATTTTTTATTTATTTTATTTATTTGAAAGAGAGAGACAGAGATAGTGAGAGAGAGCACAGGCAGGGAGAAGAGGGAGATGCAGGCTCCCCGCTGAGCAGGGAGCCCAATGTGGGACTTGATCCCAGGACCTTGGGATTATGACCTGAGCCGAAGGCAGATGCTAAACCGAATGAGCCACCCAGGCACCCCATAATTGCTTCTTGCTATTCAAATTATTTTATGTAAACCTAGTTAATTAACAATCATATGACAATATAGCAATTTGCATACAAGAAAAAGTAACCATCAGTAAGAGACAACAGGAAATGTGACAAACTGCGACCAAACAAAGAATTCATTTTTAATTCTCAAATGTCTGAATAAAACACACTCATTTGTAATAAGCAATGCAAGCAATACCCACTACAGTATTTCTAATAATATTAATGTATTCTTTTGAAAACATTTAGATTGTTTAAAAATTTGAAGAAATTCAACAGTTAATACAGGTTACATTATACCAAAGAAATGAATCTTTGGAAAAAAGGCAAAGTCAAATAGAATTTAAGAAAAATGGTATTAAGGAGGGCAAGTGTTGTGATGAGCACTGGGTGTTATATGCAACTAATGAATCACTGAACACTACATCAAAAACTAATGATGTACTGTATGGTAGTTAACATAATAAAAAATAAAATAAAATCTTTAAAAAAAAAAAAAAAGAACAATGGAGTCATATTTCAATACTTACTGGTCCCAGGCAGACAAACAACATGGCCTACTTCAGACTCTTTGTGGGTTGTTTCAGAATTTCCTGAAGAGTGTAAGCCATGGGAAATCAGAGAGCTGTTATTTTCTGATTGAGATTTATAGCTACCATTTTCATTTGCCTGTTGAAAAAATATCTTAGCTGTATTTTTTTAAATTAAAACCAAAAAGTTTTAGGGGAAAAACATGAGAAGCAGAGAATGACTTCTTGACAGAAGGATGCCAGGTAATTAATGTAGAAGGAACTGGAAACATCACCATTATAATCACCATAGGAATAATTGTTTCTAGGAGGCCTCAGCAATGATACTAACTCCAGTTTGTGAAAGGTTCTTGGGGAATAGGAAGTTCACAGGGCCCCAATGCATCATTCCCCAGATTACTTATTGATAACAAAGGAGAAAAGAAAGGCACCTACACAAGGAGACATCTAGCCAACAACACATTAACCAAGATTATCAAACACAACATCACCAATAGTGGGACCAACAGACTTCTACATCTCCTGATGTGATACAAGGAGAAGCACATATCATCCTTATGTTTAATCTTAACCTGTTCATGATATACATGCTTACTTTGAATTCTTGCCAAAATCTTTGATCAGGAGGGGAAAAAAGCAATCAGATATAACCAGCTTATGGGTCATTTTACATAAAAAACTTTAATGACATGGAAGAACTACTCCAAAGTGAAATACTAAAGAGATAGTACAACCAGAAGCAACTGTAATCCTTGATTAAATCCTAGATCAAAAACAATAAAAGTGAAGGACATTTTGGAGACAACTGGATAAATGTGAATATGGACTGTATATTCATTTACATTACTGTATCAAAGTTAGATAACAGAAGTGAGATTATGCAGGAAAATATCTTTATTTGCAGGAAAAAAATGTCAAAGTATTAGGGTGACATGTCAAAATATCTGCAAATTCCTCTTAAATGATACAGGAAAAAAGTATTCATGGAGGAACAAAGAAAACATAAAGATGGCCAAATGTTAACAATTGGTTAATTTGGATGAGGGGCATACACATGTTCATTGTGATATTCTTCAATTTTTCTGCAGAGGAAGGAAAAGTAAGAAGCAGCAAGAAAGGACGGACAAGGTATTTCTCATCACTTTCTATCTGGAAAAACAGAGACCAAAAAAAACCAAAAGCTTCTGTTTTATGGTAATATCTAATGAGACCAGTAATAGTTTTCTAAAGTCAAATTTCTGAAAAACCGTAAGATTGGAACATACCTGACATGGATCACTTGTAGGTAATTTAAAATCTTTTTCTGGATGTTCCTGTTCTAGGTCTTCATATATCATTCCTGGAATAGCCAATTGCTCAAAGTAAGCCTCCAAATGTTCATCATAAAACTCTTCATCATCAATATCATCATCTATTGGTAAAATGGTAAAAAAAGAAAAAGGAAACGTTTTAAAGTACTGACTGAACTATAATATTTAATCAAAAGGGTTGATAAAGACTTCTGAGGAAGAAGGCAGAGTAGGAGGTCCCTAAACTCACCTCGTTATATGGATACAACTAGATAACACCCACATAAGTGTGAATAACCCAGAAAAGGATCCAAAGACTGGCAGAGCAAACACTCCACAGCTAAATGTAGAGAAGAGGCCACATCAAAGAGGATAGGAAGGGCAGAAACATAGTCAGGAGCTAAATGAACCCATGGGATCAAAAGGGAGGGATTCCAAGGGTGCAGAGAGGGGAGAGAAACAGACCCTCACACCAGGCAGCCTAGGCATGGGGAAGACAAATCCCCAAGACATTTGGCTTTGAAAAACACAGGGGTCAAATTTCACAAGTTCTTTCAATCACTGGGGCATACCACCTGGAGCTTTAAAAATCAATGGGCTTGGCTCTGGCAGAGCCAAGAGGGCAAAAGGAAACGGGGTCCCTGCCTTTAAAAAGCACAACAAACAACCCTGCAGGGATACAACACAGAAGCAACAGTCTGAAAACCACCTAGGGTATGCAGGAGATTTGTTGACTAATTTTGGTGTATATGCTGGAGGAGCAGGGATCTTTGGGAGACTTCAGGAAAAAGGAGCTGGTAGGCACTATTTCCCTTCCCTACTCCCCAGTCTAGATACACAAACACCTGTGGGGACCAGTGTGGCTAAGACACTCACTAGGTAACTTGCTAACAGTGCAACCTGCCCCACGTTCTCCTGCAGCTACACCCCTTCCAATATGCTCTTGGCCAGAGCACATCCAAAGTAGTGCCACAAGCCTGGCAGTGTGCAAGCAGCCCTGACAATGGTCAGCACCACTCCAAAGTGACTTCTGCCCCAGGGAGAAAGAAAGATAATCACATACATATCAAGACTGTGGTCCCAGGAGTAGGCTGAAGACAGACAGCTAATCTGACTGCAGGCCCCACCCACCAATGAAAGCTTCCCAGGGGACAACACAGAGAAAGCGCCTTGCACTTTGGTGCTACCACAGCTCTGGAAACACCTGGTCTGACTCAACTCAAGCCCAAGGCAGCCCCAGACTGGCCCATTACAACACAGGGACCAAACCCTGCCCATAACAGACAAAAGAAACTGCAGATGACTGCACTGAAGGCAAAAGTGGCTCAGCCACAACAGCAGGGCACACGCAACACACATAGGAGACACCCCTTAAGCACCAGGTTCTGGTAAACAGGGGAAACTGCACTGGGGGGCACTACAGGACCTCTTCATAAGGCAGCTACTTTCAAGAGCAGGAGATGTAGCTGACTGTCGAACCACACAGAAACAGACACAGAGAGTTAGACAAAATAAAGACAGAGGAATATGTCCCAGATGAAAGAACAGGACAAAAATCAAAGCAATAGACCTAAGATAAGTAATATTCCTATGGAGAATTTAAAGTAATGGTCATAAAGATATGCACTGACTAGAGAAAAGAGTAGAGGACATCAGTGAAACCCTTAAAAAGGAAATAGAAAACATAAAAAAGAACCAAAGTTGAACAATTTCATAACTAAAATTAAAAATACATGGAATAGATGAACTAAATAGACTAGATAAAGCACAGGAATGGATTAGCAACCTGGAAGACAAAATAATGGAAAACAATCAAGCCAAACATAAGAGAGAAAAAAATAATAAAGTGAAAATAGACTTAGAGAACTCAGTGACACCATCAAATGTAGTAATATTCACATTATAGGGATCCCAGAAGGAGAAAAGAGAGAAAAGGGGGCAGAAAATTTATTTGAAGACACAACAGCTGAAAACATCCTGAATCTGGAAAAGGAAACAGAAATCCAGATCCAGAAGGCACAGAGCCCCCAACAAAATCAACCCAAGGAGGTCCACACCAAGACACATAGCAATTAAAATGGCAAAAAATAGAGATAAAGAGAGAATTCTAAAAGCAGCAAGAGAGCTGGGGTGCCTGGGTGGCTCAGTCATTTAAGTATCGGACTCTTGATCTCAGCTCAGGTCTTGATCTCAGGGTTGTGAATTTAAGCCCCACGTTGGGCTCCATGCCTTAAATAGATAAAAATAAAAATAAATAAAAGCAGCAAGAGAAAAGAAAACAGCTACATGCAAGGGAATCCCCATAAAGTTATCAGCAGATTTTTCAGCAGAATTCTGCAGGACAGAGGGACTGGCATGATATATTCAATTGGCTGAAACGAAAAAACATGCAGCCAAGAATACTCTATCCAGCAAGGCTATCATTCAGAATAAAGAGAAAGATAAAGAGTTTCGCAGACAAACAAAACTTAAAGGACTTCAAGACCATTAAACCAGCCCTACAAGAAATGTTAAAAGGCAATTCTTTAACTAGAAAGACGATAAGTAGGAGTACGAAAGGTAGGAAGCACAAAAGCAGTAAAAGTAAGTATATGTATAAGAATTAATCAAGGGATTCACAAAATAAAAGGATGTAAAGCATGACACATAGCTAAAACATACACATATACCTAAAACGTGGAGGGGAGAGAAGTAAAGAATGGGCTGAAACTTAAGCAACCATCAAATTAATAGACTGCTATATGCAGAAGATGTTATATACAAACCTAATGATCACCACAAATCAAAAATCAGTAATAGATAAGGAAATAATAAAGAGAGAGGAATCCAAGTACATCACTAAAGAATGCCACCAAACCCTGAGAGAAGAGCAAGAGAAGAAAGAAACAGAGAAGAACTACATAAACAGACATAAAACAAGTAACAAAATGGCAGTACATACATACTTATCAATAATTACTTCGAATGTAAATGGACTAAACACTCCGATCAAAAGATACATGGTGACTGAGTGGATGAAAAAGCAAGACCCATCTATAAGCTGACTATAAGAGACTCACTTCAGACCTAAAGAACCATGCAGACTGAAATTGAAGGAAAGAAGCATGTATCATGCAAAAGGAAGTGAAAAGAAAGTCAGGGTAGCAATATTTATATCGGGCAAAACAGACTATAAAACAAAGAAGGTAACAAAAAACAAAGAAGGACACTATATAAACATAAAGGGGACAATCCAATAAGATATAACAATTATAAATATATATGCACCCACCATGGGAGCACCCAAATACATTAAGCTACTGATAACAAATATGCAAAATGTAAGCAACAGTAACACAGTAACAATATAGGGCTTTAACACCCCACTTACAGCAATGGAGAGATCATCCAAACAGAAAATCAACAAAGAAACAGTGACTTTGAATGACACGCTGGACCAGATGGATCTAATAGATATATTCAGAGCATTCCATCCTAAAACAGAATACTCGCAAGTGCACAAGAAATATTCTCCAGAATAGATTACAAAGTAGACCACAAAACAAGTCTCACCAAATTCAAAAAGACTGAAGTCACACCATGCATCTTTTCTTAGCACAACACTATGAAACCAGAAATCAAACACAAGAAACTATCTGGAAAGAACACAATTACATGGACACGTTAATAACATGATACTAAGCAATAAATGGGTCAACAAGAAATCAAAGAGGAAATCAAACAATACATGAACAAATGAAAATGAAAATACAACAGTCCAAAATCTTTGGGATGCAGCAAAAGCTGTTCTAAGAGGAAAGTTTGTGACAATACAGACCTATCTCAAGAAGCCAAGAAAAATCTCAAACAATCTAACCTTACAAATAAAGGAGCTAGAAAAAAAACAAACAAAACCCAACAACAGTAGAAGGAAGGAAATAATAAAGATTAGAGTAGAAATAAATGAAATAGAAACTAAGAAACAATAGAACAGATCAATAAAACCAGAAGCTGTTTCTTTGAAAAGATAACAAAATCGATAGATTTTTAGCAGTACTCATTTAAAAGAGAGAGAACTCAAACAAAATCAGGAATGAATGAAGATAATTAACAACTGACACCAAAGAAATACAAAGGATCTTAAGAGAATATTATGAAAAATTATATAACAAATCGGGACAACGTAGAAGAAATGGATAAATTCATAGGAACATGTAACATCCCAAAAGTGAATCAGGGAAAAATAGGAAAACTGAACACACTGATTATCAGCAAAGAAATTTATTTTACTTTTTTTTTAAGATTTTATTTATTTATTTGAGAGAGAGAGAGAGGAGGGGCAGAGGAAGAGGGAGAAGCAGACTCCTCACCAAGCAAGGAGTCTGATGCGGGACTCGATCCCAGGACCCCAGGATCATGACCCAAGCTGAAGGCAGATGCCCAACTGACTGAGCCACACAGGTGTCCCACCATCAAAGACATTTAATCAGTAATCAAAAACACGCAACCAAAGTCTAGGACCAGATGGCTTCACAGGTGAATTCTACAAAACATTTAAAGGAAAGTTAGTATCTATTCTTCTCAAACTCTTCCAAAAACTAAAAGAGGAAAGAAAGCTTCCAAATTCATTCTATCATTACCCTGATACCAAAATCAGGTAAAAACACTATTAAAAAAAGAACTACAGGCCAGTATCTCTGTTGAACAGAGATGCAAAAATCCTCAACAAAATATTAGTAAACCGAATCCAACAATACGTTAAAAAAAAATAACTCATCACAATCAAGTGAGGTTCATTCCTGTGATGCAAGGGTGGGTTGATATTCGCAAGTCAATCAACATGATACATCGTATTAACAAGAGAAAGGATAAAAACCATATGAACATTCCAACAGATGCAGAAAAAGCCATCTGACAAACTACAGCATCCATTCATGATAAAAACCCTCCACAAAGTAGGTTTGGAGGGAACATACCTTAACATAATAAAGGCCATATATGAAAAGCCCGCAGCAAACATCACACTCAATGGGGGAAAACTGATGAAAGCTTTTCCCCTAAGGTCAGGAACAAGATAAAATGTCCACTCTCACCACTTTTATTTAACACAGTACTAACAGTTCTAGCCACCACAATCAGACAA